GGCCTGGGCCCAGGTCCTGCCAGGGAAGCCTGTCTAGGGGTTAAGCACACCCCCCTCACCCACCCCTGGGCTTGAGATCAGAGCTGGGCCTATGGCACCTGAGAAGGCCCTTTGAAACAACTGGTGGATGCACCCAGGGGTGTCACAGGAGTGGGCTTGGAGTCGGGGGCCTGGGTATTGCAAAAGCTGAAAGCAACACACACACACGCACGCACGTACGCACGCACACGTACGTCTCCTTGACCTCCCCTTTCCCTCCAAGACATACCTGTTGCTCCAGCTCCCCCACTGCCAGGAAGCAAACTTCCTCTCTTCAGTTTGTTTTCTGTTCCCCTCCAGATGTTCAGCCTCTGGAGCTGCTGTCTCCAGGGCAAACAAACAGGAGGGCAGCCTGTGAGAAGGCTGGCGAGGACACCCAGGAATAGAATGCTCTTTGGAGCAGGGCAGAGCTCTGGGGCCCACAGGGAGGCTCCGCAGAGGCTGGGATTGGGGCACAGCAAGCACTTGCAGGGTGATCGGAGGAAGCTTGTCAGGAGCTGAGATGCGTTCTCACCGGCCTGGGGAGAAGCTCCACCAGGCAGCCCTGAGTTGAGAGGAGTGCAGAGGGTGCAGGCCTCCCCCATTCTGTATGCAGGAGACTGAGGCCCAGCAGAATGGTGAGGGCATAAGCACCCCACCTGCTGTCAATGCTCCCTTGGGCCAGAGATCTTTCCGGGGAGCCACTGCTGAGTGGGTGGGCAGGAGTGGGCTTCCAGAGCCTATGACCCTGCCCCTAGCCTCTCTGTGCCTGTCCCTTGTCCTGTCTCTCTGGGTCATCTCGACGCCCTTGTCTCGGCGGACCATGCTCTTCACCATGTTGTGTCTCCCCCACCCCCGCCCCCCTCTCCGGCTCTGTCTTCTCTCTTAGTTGCGTACTTGAAGGACCGAAGGCTGAGTGGAGGAGCAGGTAGCCCCACGGCCCTTTCCCCTGATGCATGGATGCCCAGCCTCCCCTCCCTGCTCCTTCCTCCTGGCAGTGCTGCAGCCAGGCCGCATCTTGCTGTGGTTTGGAACCTTCTCGTGTCCTGTTCAACTCAGAAACCCCACAGATTCTTGCTCTTCTGCGCCCTGGGCCTGTAGATCAGCTGCGTTGCAGAGCAGTCTTGCTTCTAGGTTGTCATGAGCTTCGTGGCTTTCAGAGGTCTGGGGATTGGAAACAGACCCTCCTCAGAGGTAGAGCCCAGGCCTGGCCCTGCCTGAGCCACAGAGGTGGTCGGGAGCATTCAGGAGGGTAGAGTTGGCCTCCTGCAAGCCTTGCTTGGGAAAGTCCAAAGAAGAAGGGCAGAGTCGGAATTGAGGGCGGCGTGAGGCCACCCTCCGTGTCCTCCTTGACGGAAGCAGTCCTGCTTCTCCACCACATCCTCTTGAGGGAGGCACAGCTGGAAACCCAGCACCTCCCTGCACCAGCTCTCGATGCCTGGTCAGCCGCTGAGAGGGCCCTGCTGCCCGCAGCCCCCTCGGCCCACTCACTGTCGCCGGCCCTGCATGCCCCTGGCCTGACAGCTGCCACCAACCTCTTGGCCCGGGAGGGGCCCTCTGTGCCTTGGAGGAACGGTTCCCTAGCCGCTTTGCTTGCAGCCTACTTTTCCCACTGGAGGCACCTGGCCCTGCCTGCTGGTCCTCACACCCATCCTGTCTCTGTTCACAGTGCCCTCAGCCAGCATGACCCGCCTGGCACGCTCCCGCACCGCGTCCCTCACCAGTGCCAGCTCGGTGGATGGCAGCCGCCCACAGGCCTGCACCCACTCGGAGAGCAGCGAGGGGCTGGGCCAGGTCAACCACACCATGGAGGTGTCCTGTTGAAGCCCTCAGTCCCGCTGACGACACCCAGCTGTCCGCCCGCATCGAGGTCCCACTGCCATCCGTGCGCCGGCTCATGTTCCCTTTAGTTTATTTTTGTGAGGGCAAAGAGGAGGAAATGGGGTTACTTCTGTTTGAAAAAAAATATGAGGGGATCTATGTTAGATGCTGTGGCGGAACCGTCTCCAGATGTTTTGAGGGGCTCACTCTTCCCCACCCCATCCCACTCTCCATGGTAACTTGGCCGACTGGACCCCTCTCATCCCACTCCCTGCAGCCCAGGCACAGGAGGGCAGGGCTGCAGGAAGGGAGATTTGCTGCAGATCCAGGCCATCCTGGGTGAGCCCTTGGGCAGGCAGGTTTACAGATGGCAGCAGCTTCGAGAGGGTGGGTGCTGGGCCCGCGGGGACTCGGGGGCCAGCTCAGGCACTGGCATGGGAGCCCTGGGAGGCCCTTTCCCCCCTCTTCCACCAAGCACACCTATTTCTCATAGCACATGTGACAATCATCGGGACAATAGCCACGAGGGGGCGCTCGGACTGGGCAGCCACTTTCCTGGTGCTCTCTGGGCCCAGCTGGTGCTGTGGGGCCAGGCAGGCAGGGATGTCAGGGGGTTTCTCTGCCCAAGGAAGACAGAACATGGAGAACTGTGAGGGCAGGAACCCCACAGACTGTCCCTAACAGCCCACACTCTACCGCTTCCTGGCCCTGTCCCATTTCTGAGCCAAGGCCTCCCTGAGGCAGAAGTCACCTGGTCCGCTGTCCCCACAGTGACCTGATGGGGGTGAGAGAGGAGGAGAGAGCCCAGGTGTGGTGTGTGTACCCCTGAGAACTTCATGGCGACTGCCTTTGGGAGCCCACAGGTGGCCAGAGGCAGGGGTAGCTGAGTTCCTGGAGACCCTTTTTTGCCCCCAGGCTCCCCAGAGGGCAATGCCATCAGTAGCAGTGTGGTGTTTCAGGCAGAGCTCTGGCCAGGCTGCGCCAGTGTGTCCCGTAAGCATCACTAAGGAAGAGAGTTTATTTGGTCAGCTGGCCCAAGGCAGCAGGGCTTCCACAGTCCCACCTCCCCATAGCTGCCTGGGCTGGGGCTTGCTGGGAGCTGAAGGTTCTGGACATGGGCCAGGTAGAGTAGAAAGGCTTCCCCCACACCCCAGCCTCCTCCTTCCACCTGAAGCCCAGGACTGTGCCGCATACTTTCCATCCACCCACCTTACCCCGTAGAATTTTGCTGCCCAGAAACCAGAGCCATTTGTCTTGGACCCTAAATCAATGGTCGCAAACCCCAAAACAGAATAGGGGAGAGAGCAATGAAAAAATGAAGGGCTGTGAAGCGGGGAGGGTTGTGGCGGGTGTTCTGGGGCTGAGAGGACACCTAGATGCATATTTCCTTTGCACACATCACCCCCTTCTATAATCTGAAGCCATGACGAGCCCGGTGGTGTGTTAGTTTCTCCCCAGTTCTACCCCCTCACGTGCTTCCTCTGAATACTGAATGTGACTGTTTGAAAGCTGGTAGAATTAATCCCTCTTACTGTAGATAGCACTGCAAATCTTGGATTTCGTTTTGTTTTTTTGCTGTGTTTTCAGATGAGATATCTATAAATATTCTATACATTATATGTGCGTGTGTGTGTGTGTGTGTGTACACACATTGGGTCCTCCCATGTGGTGTTCCTTCAGAGGCTGTCTTTGGTCAAGGTAAACTTTTAATGTTTATTATTTTCTTCTCCACATGAAGTGAAGAGCCTAATTTTGTGTGTTCTGGTAGCTGCTGTCATGAGATGACAAAATGTAAAACAAAACTCTAGTCAACGTAGAAAGAGTTAACTGTGCTGAAAAACTAATAAAGAACCTAAGAAGAATTCCAGTGTGGTGATGCCATGCCCACCGTGGGAAGCTTTTGGAGGGACAGAATGTTCAGGCAGGGCCTGCTGGTGCTGCATGGGTTTTGGGATGAGGGTACTAGGAGAGGATGGTCTCTCCCGTACAAGTCACGTACATTATTTCACCCGAGGAGAGTATGACAAACATTAAAAGCCTTATGTGCTCATTCTGCTTAAACCCAACAGTGACAAAATACAGTTCTCGGCCAGGTGCAGTGGCTCACGCCTCTAATCTCAGCACTTGAGGAAGCTGAGGCAGGCGAATCACTTGAGGCCAGGAGTTCAAGACCAGCCTGGGCAACACAATGAAACCCATCTCTACTAAAAATACAAAAATTAGCTGGGTGTGGTGGTGCACGCCTTGTAATTCCAGCTACTCGGGAGGCTGAGGCAGGAGAATTGCTTGAACCCAGGAGGCAGAGGTGGTAATGGAGATGGTGCCATTGCACTCCTGCCTGGGCAACACAGCAAAACTCTCTCAAAATAAAAAAACGAAATACAGCTCTCCAGAAAAAAATGCCTTAAAGACAAAACAAAACACACCTGCCCTCCAAATCTCCTGCCTGAGTCACTGCATTCCTTCAAAGATAAACGACCCTGGTCTTTGCCTTCACCTACACATAAGCTCATGTCTGGCAGGTTAATGATTATACTTCTGCAATCTATAACCAGATATACTTATTTCTAAACTTCGATACGATTTTACACATACTAAATCTTCACCTATACTGTATATAACCTCAACTGAAATACCGTGTTGGAACAGCCTGCCAAGATTACTTCTGCCAAGATTACAGGCCTCAGTCTATAGTCCTCAATAAGGCTCCTAAACTAACTTCAATTCTTTAAAAACTTAATTTTTTTCTTTAGTCAACATATCAATCCTTACGTTAATTCTACAGGGTAGGTATTATCTTAGTTTCGCAAGTGAGGAGAACTGAGCTTCAGAAAAAGGGATCTGTCTTAATAACAGACCAAACTGAGTGCTGAACTCCGGCGTTGCTTGGCTTCAAAGCCCATTCCTGTAACCTCAATATTCACAGCCTTGTTTTCTTAAATTAACAGAATGCTACTTCCACCACGTTTAACCACCATTTGTTTTATTCATTCATTTACCCTAGGTAGCTATTGAGTCCCTACTACTTTAGCTAATAAAAGCCACCACGTGCTATGCAGCAGTTAAAAATGAGGATGTACTGGCAAATAAGGGCAGAAGGGATCTAGTCTAGATCCAGGAGCCCTCCAGGCCATGCCACTCCGAAACACACACGAAAACTGCTCTGAATAAATACCAGTAAAACGGTTTGATGGCCACCGGTAACAAGGGGTCGAGATCAGGAGGCCGCTGGCCCCCCAGATGCGTGCGATCACCACCCGCGGGCCGCCAGACCCTCGGCTTCCGATCCAGACTGCAGGAAGCCTCAGCTCCCTGGGACCGACCAAAGGCCAGGGTTGCACCTGGCTCAGAAACAAGCTCCATGCGGCACGGGACACTCCTTCCTCCACGCGGACCGCGCGAGTGCAATTAGAGACCCTAGATTCAAGATGTTTTCAGGAGGAACCATTCCAGCTGGCGCTAATCGCGGCCGGTCCACAGCGCGGACGCCAAAACAGGCACCACGTGGTTCCGGCGCTGGGGCGGGGCCAGAGACGCCGGAAGTGATTGCGCTACCTACAGGCCCGCGGGGCGGCTCACGCTCAGACCATGGCGACCCAGGCAAAGCGTCCACGGGTGAGTGGTGGGCGCGGGTTCTAGCCTTCTCCTCCGTGAGTCACCCCTTGTCTACCCGCAGGGCCGTCCGCGTGCCCCCTCTCCGCCCACTCCCGTGAGTCCCGCGCCCCTTTCCACTTGTCCCTTCGTCCCCCCAAGCCCGTTCTGCGCACGCGCCGCGGTCTCCTCTCTTTCTCAGCGGGCCTTCGGGGGCCGGGCCTGGTCACTGCGCGCATTTATCTCAGGTGGCGGGGCCCATGGCTTGCGGAAACCCGGATCCTGTGGCCGGCTTCTTGAGCTGGTGCCGGCGGGTGGGACTGGAGTTGAGCCCCAAGGTGAGCGAGCGAGCGGGCGGGCTGAGGACCCGCGGTGGAGCGCGGGCTGCCCTGACCAGCCCTCCTCCTGCTCAGGTGGAGGTCAGCCGGCAGGGCACGGTGGCTGGCTACGGCATGATGGCCCGGGAGAGCGTGCAGGCCGGAGAGCTGCTGTTCGTGGTACCGCGTGCCGCGATCCTGTCGCAGCACACCTGCTCCATCGGCGGCCTGCTGGAGCGAGGTGGGCACAGCGGCGGGCGAGGGCGCTGGGGCGAGCCTGAGAGGCTGCGCCGGGACACTCACTCCTGTGTCTCTCTCAGAGCGAGGCGCGCTACAGAGCCAGTCGGGCTGGGTGCCACTGCTGCTGGCGCTGCTGCACGAGCTGCAGGCCGCGGCCTCACACTGGAGGCCGTATTTTGCGCTCTGGCCCGAGCTGGGCCACTTGGAGCACCCTATGTTCTGGTGAGAGCCCTGGGAGGGGTTGGGGAGCGTCTGCACTGTAGCCTGCTGCAGGGACAGAGTCCTCCCCCCAATTCCCCTTAGCACCAGTCCTACCCAGTAAAGTGCGTGGAAGGATGAAGAGAACCTGGGTGTGGGTGTCCCTGCAGGCCAGAGGAGGAGCGCCGGCGCCTGCTGCAGGGCACAGGCGTACCTGAGGCCGTGGAGAAGGATTTGGACGGCATCCGTAGCGAGTACCACTCGATTGTGTTGCCCTTTATGGAAGCCCATCCCGATCTCTTCAGCCTCAGGGTTCACTCCCTAGAGCTCTACCTCCAGCTCGTGGCCCTTGTGATGGCCTACAGGTCAGTGACTGGAGACTCAGAGAATGGAACCCTTTTCTTTATAAGTCTATAGCGGGACAAAAGGGGAAAGATAGTGAAACCCACCCCCAGTCCCTCACCCAAGACAGGGCCTTAACCAGGTTCTCTCAATGGCAGCTTTCAGGAACCACTGGAGGAAGAGGAGGATGAAAAGGAGCCCAACTCCCCCATGATGGTGCCCGCTGCAGACATACTAAACCACTTAGCCAATCACAATGCCAATCTGGAATACTCTGCGGTGAGTGGAGTTCTTACTGGTGCACTGATTAAGCATGATTCACACCGTTAGGCTCCATTCTCTTACTAGCGCTACAAAATGAGTAGTGAAATCAGCTCCTGTACGCTCCTTTAGTATGCATATTACAGAAGAATCATTTGAATGCAAAACATTTTAAAGTCCTCGGAGTTGTGGGTAACCCTCTTTAGTGCTAGCAATTTGGTGGTCTGCATAGCCATGTTTCATTCCCTACTGGCTGCTCATATTTTTGAGCCCAGACTCTGTGGCTCTGTGGATAGCAGCCTGGAACAGAGAGTCTCTCTGTTTTGGAGGGGTGAGGATATTCACAGGCCAGAGGTCTCAGACGATCCTAGAACTGGTATAAAGCTGTTTATACCAGTTGTATTCTATATGGAAAGTTGCAAGAAAAGATGGCATATTTGTAGGATCAAAAATTAGTATGGTTATTTCTAAACCCTTGCCTTCGTTTTCCTTTCCGACTTTGATCTGCAGAAATTTCAGCCCCCTGTCTTACTGTGTTGCCCGGGCTGAAGTGCGGTGGCATGATCTCTGTTCACTGCAACTTCTGCCTCTGGGTTCAAGCAGTTCTCCATGCCTCAACTTCTCGAGTAGCTGGGATTACAGGTGCCCGCCACCATGCCCGGCTAAATTTTTCTATTTTTTCTGTGGAGACAGGGTTTTGCCTTGTTGGCCAGGCTGGTCCTAACTCCTGACCTCATGATCCACCCACCTTAGCCTCCCAAAGGGCTGGGATTACAGGCGTGAGCCACCATGCCCAGCCAGAAATTTCATTTTTAGAGCTACCCACTTTTTAAGTGCTGAAGATAACTGTGCAGAAATCCACCCAGTTAAACATGAAGCTGGCCTTTTAAAGCGAGCCTGACCCTTTTTGTTTCACAGTTCAGGGTCTAACAGGAAATAAAGGTAAGAACTTTGGTAGTTAACAGCGTCAGTCTCATGGCTGAACTACACCTGCTGAAGGCTCTTAAGAGGAAGTAATCTTTATGGGGCCGGCCTGTTAAAGGCATGCCCCCAGCTTCTCCCTTTCACCTCAGGATTGTCTTCGGATGGTAGCCACTCAGCCTATTCCTAAAGGCCATGAGATTTTCAACACTTATGGGCAAATGGCTAACTGGCAACTGATTCATATGTACGGTTTTGTTGAACCATATCCTGACAACACAGATGACACAGCTGACATTCAGATGGTGACAGTTCGTGAGGCAGCATTACAGGGTGAGTGTATCATTAATCTTTGATACTGATGGCAGTATCTGTACCCATGCCTTGGGTTAAATAGCCTTGCTAAAGAGCAGTTGGCTTTGTTGACTAGGTGGTAAAGATAAGAGCTCTTAGGTGTACTAAGACTTTCACATTGCTATTTCATCTACAGGAACAAAAACTGAAGCTGAAAGGCTCCTAATGTATGAGCGCTGGGATTTCCTATGCAAACTGGAGATGGTAGGGGAAGAGGGAGCTTTTGTGATAGGGAGGGAGGAGGTGCTGACTGAAGAGGAGCTGACCACCACACTAAAGGTAAAAGGCTGAAGATGGCCATTTAATGCTGATTTGAGCAAAATAGCTAGAAGATAGAGGAAATGTGACATTTTTAATAAATGCTGAGTTTAGTCTCCTGAATCATTTCAGAAGTATGCAAGTAGTGCATCCTAATTAAAGGGCTCTGTGGTTGCTTCTAGGTACTGTGCATGCCTGCTGAAGAGTTCAGAGAGTTTAAAGACCAGGATGGAGGGGGAGATGATAAAAGGGAAGATGGCAGCCTGGCGATCAACAACATTCCCAAGCTCAAAGCATCGTGGAGACAGCTGCTTCGAAACAGCATTCTATTGACCCTGCAAACCTATGCCACAGACTTAAAAACTGACAAAGATGTACTCAGCAATAAGGAGGTCTATGCTAAACTCAGCCGGAGGGAACAACAAGCCTTACAGGTTCGCTATGGTCAGAAGATGATCTTACATCAGTTGTTGGAACTGACAAGTTAGCAGTTTCCCTATTCCCTGAAGGAACAGCAATAAGAACTTTAATAATCACTGGTGTTTGAAAAAGAGGAAAATTTGGATCTTATTAAACACCAAAAGGGAAAGAGGCAAAGGTGGTGTACCAGGATAAACTGAGGTAAGGGTGGATGTGTTTAAGGATTGAGAATGGCAGACTTGGCAATCACTAATTGTTAACACATGTTACAAATATTTGGTCAGTTTTAACCAAAGCCAGTGGAAATATGGTAGTAATAGGTCTTGTTGTGTTCCAGAGCATTTAGAGAGAGTGAGTGTGAGTGTGTGTGTGCGTGTGCGCGCGCGCGCGTGTGGACAGACTTTGGAAGTAGACCCTATTTTAAATCTAGGTCTAGTTTGAGGAAGTCAACCTTTAAAAGACTCTCAGGATTTAATAAGCTGTGTAACTGGCACTCAATGATCGCTTACCTGAAGTTCATGCTAGATGGCACAAACCACCCCTCAGGGAATAAACCCTAAGACATCATTCAAGGAGGACACTTCAGTTATTTAATTTAGAACCTTTTTGTCCTCTCTGGCAGTAAAACTTGACAGTCATGAAAGGTAAGTCCAATTTTAAGTGAGTTAAGTTTTAAAATATGTATCTACTCATTTTCTTTAAAAAAAAAGACACCAAAATACCTAAGGGTAAAGGATAGTAAAGAAAACTGGGCATTTTAAATTTGGTTTAACCAGAGAAACCTGCTTCAGCAATTTTCCAGTGTTGAAATAGGAAGAAAAATACAATTTCCTTTCTTAAACATGCCAGTTTAGTAGTGGGAATGACCTATCATTCAGCAAGAAGTTGGTGGTTCCCAATGGCCCCAAGCTCTGCAAGGGTGAACTGTCCACTTTTCCTCTTCATCAGCACTGGCTGCTGCTACTGAGAAAGGCACAGTGGACTCATGTGTGTCATGACTTTAATGGTTGGCTACAGTATGCATACACATACAAGTAGTAGTAGGGGAGCTGAAGCCCAGGAAAGGCTACAAAATACAACACAGGGACCAATACATTAGCAAAACATTCAAAATCCTTATTTAAAAAAAAAAAAGCTGTATTGGTCATTTCATCTTGGTCATGTTCAGCTTAGCCTGTATGGCCATTCAGTGGAGTAATGGGGGAGGGCAATTCATCAGATTTGGTTCCCTTTCCTGTATTCCCACAGTTTATAAAAGTTTCAGGAGAGGGATGGGGGGGTGAGGGTAGGGGGTGGGATTTAAGTCTGGTCTGGTTTCCCTTTATATAAAAGAGCTGACCCCCATCTCACATGGCTGAGGTATATATTCCCCAAAAGAAATAAAATGGTACAAATGCAGTCAGCTTTAGAATGGGTTTGGGTAGAGACAAAACAAACTCAAGGGATTCTAATAGTGAGCTCTTCCCATGTTCCCGGACATATCAAATTCTAGCACATCCAGATTTTTAATAACTTAGTGATTTTCAGGGTCCCCTGTCCACATTAAAAAAATAAGTTACATAATAAACTGGCTTTTTGCTATTCTTTGGGACACCAGGAATGTCAGACGACATGGAGCTATGCCCTCAGACAAGTGCATGGCATCAGCTGCCTCTTTATTACAAGGTACCAGTTTATGTACTTGCCTTGGACACAGCTTGCACAAACCCAAGAAGTTCCAGACAAAGGTTTTTCTCTTTCATATATTTACACAAGTTCAAAATGATATTCACAGCATCTTCTAAATTTTGGCCAAGAGTCAAAAAAAAAAAAAAAAAAAAAAAAAAATGCGTTTAAACTTTGGAACGTGCCCACATAAGACAGGAGGCTGATCCCAACAGTAGTTGGGGCAGATACCCGCAAACCAAAGGGCTGGGAAAGTCAGGAAGAGCTGAAAGGATTCTTCAGTTTATGAACTCGGTGCAGTGAGACCGCTAGGGTGACACATACAACAGAGATGCAGTTTCATCTAACTGGCACCTGTCCCTTCCATTACTTGCTGGGCCTGCTTCTGTCCCATGCAGCACTGTGCCACCGACTGGAATAACCTGAAGGGCAAAGACAGTTACAAATTTGTGATTAAAGAGTAGGCCTAGCAATACCTTGCATCTCATTTGCTTTAGCTATTAATCACTGACCCAACCTAGAGACAAATGGTTTTCATTCTTCAGGCTCATTACTAGACAATTAATTACTTTTAACTCACTTCTCGATTTCTGGGGCACAGTGTACAAATTCATGGTTCCAGAATTTAAACGCTGGGTTTTTAATCAGCTCAATGAAGGTAATAAGAAGACCCCAAGGATGTGGCCTATTTACAATCAACCGTTCCAAGAGAACTCTGAAAAGGGAGAAAGAGCTAGTTAATGCAGAGAAGCATACAAATTCATGATTATTCTTCCATTACCTTTTTTCCCTAACTTCTCCCTGATTATTGAACCACATGCTAAAGTTTTCACCTTTAGTAAAGACCTTTAGTCAAAACACTCCCAATAGCATGAGTTGGAATAACTGGGTTTGAAACCCTGTTCTTAGCCCTAGAAGAACACATATTAATGTAAAGTGCAGATAACAGCATGTATCTCAGAGCTGTTCAGAATAAGGGGTGATGGGGGAGAGGAAGCCACATAAAGCCAAGAGTACATGGCACACATATTACAAAAAGTAGTAACTTCAAGAATGAGCTCCCAGGCCTGGTACAGTGGCTCATGCCTGTAATACCAGCATTTTGGGAAGCAAAGCTGGGTGGATCACGTGAGGTCAGGAGTTGGAGACCAGCCTGGCCAACGTGTTGAAATGCCATCTTATTAAAAATACAAAAATCAGGCGTAGTGGTTCATGTCTGTAATCCCAGCAGTCAGAGGCTGAGGCAGGAGAGCCTCTTGAACCCAGTAGGTGGAGGTTGTGGGGAGGCGAGATCGTGCCACTGCACTCCAGCCTGGGCAACAGAGTGAGACTCCATCTCAAAGAAATAAAAGGATGAGCTCTCAGTGAAAAGTTAGGAAATAAGAATTCTAACACTACTAGTGCACGTGTAAATTGGTAGAATTTTTCTGAATGCCAGTTAAGTATTGGCTTAACTTTATATCCTTTCACGTACTAACTGTACATGAAGCATAACAAAGATAAGTACAAGGAGACTTACTGCAGCTTTATATAAACAAAATGGAACACATCATCTAAGCATCCAATAAGAGATTTTGGTACACAAATCAAAGGAATACCATATTTAGCACCATAGGTACAACTTAATTAGGCAAATAGGCAAGTTTCAAGAGTCTGGCCCAATTTTTAAAATATAAGTGTGTATATATCTATCTCACTAACAATCTCTCCAATGCTATATATAGTCTAGGCAATCCAGCAACAGATTCCTTTGTTTTTTTTTTTTTTTGAGACGGAGTTTCGCTCTTGTTACCCAGGCTGGAGTGCAATGGCGCGATCTCGGCTCACCGCAACCTCCGCCTCCTGGGTTCAGGCAATTCTCCTGCCTCAGCCTCCTGAGTAGCTGGGATTACAGGCATGTGCCACCATGCCCAGCTAATTTTTTGTAGTTTTAGTAGAGACGGGGTTTCACCATGTTGACCGGGATGGTCTCGATCTCTTGACCTCGTGATCCACCCGCCTCGGCCTCCCAAAGTGCTGGGATTACAGGCTTGAGCCACCGTGCCCGGCCTACAGATTCCTAACTATTGTAAGGAAAATGCAAGTATGATCCTGTTGTTGCTACTGCTTTCAACCCAGAGTTAATGAGGAAAAAGTCCAAGGTCCTTAACATCGTCTTCCATAGGCCTACATGACTTAGGACTAGTTATCACCACCACCTCAGAGAAACTCTGACCTTTAATCAAAATGTGCCTTGTGGTATAAACTACTTTTCATTTAAGCAATGATTATGATTTCTAATTCTCTACTTGTGATATGTGTCCATCAGAATGAGTATTAGGAGGGCAGGAACCATCCATTTTGCTCACAATTGTATCCCACATTTAAAAGATTATTGGACATGCAGATTTTCACTGAAGACTGGGTGCAGTGGCTCAAGCCTGTAATCCCAGCACTTAGGGAGGCTGAGGTGGGCGGATCACTTGAGGTCAGGAGTTCAAGACCAGCCTGGTCAACATCCTGAAACCCTGTCTCTACTAAAATGCAAAAATCAGCTGGGCATAGTGGTGGGCACCCGTAATCCCAGCTACTTGGGAAGCAGAGGTTGCAGTGAGCTGAGATCGCAGCATTGCACTCCAGCCTGGGCAACAGAGCAACACTACGCATCAAAAATAATAATTTTAGATAAATAAGATTTTTACTTAACATTGAATGCATAGGAAAAAAACCCAAGCCTTTAAGATGAAAGGACAGGGGGACCATTTTGAAGCATTTAAAAAGTAAGCTGCTCTCTTACCTTGTGATCTGTTCTTGGATAGCTTCTGTATTGGCCTCTGCAAAAAGGTACAGCATGGTGCAACTGAAGTAGTGAGTGTGGCTATTTGGGTACCGGAGCTGATTTGCAATTGCATTCAAAAAGAGATAGCGACCTAGAAATTAAGAAACCTTGAGTCTGAAAAGTCAACATAGGAAGACAGTTCTAACTGGCTAGAGTTTCCGTTTCTGATACAGGCTTTCAAATTAATCTCTGGTTTAAAGCTGTGGTTCTCCGGACCCCAAAGAGTTCTCATTTCTGTAGGTTTTATTTCAGTGTTTTCCACGTTGGTAATTAGATTTTTTAAATATTTATTCATTTTTAAAAAGAGACTCATTATATATTAATAGAAGTAACATGAAATATTTTCCGGTGACACTCTTCAGAGTTTTTCTACATTTTGCAGATCTTTAATTCTTGCTTAATAAAAGACAGCTGGATTCTCATTTCTGCTTCCATGTTCAACTTGTTATTACGGTGTATTTTTTGTAACCTCTGAGAAATTCAGCTGTATACTCGTGACAGAATAGATCCAAAACAGCAAATATTGTCTTATGAGAGAAATGGTTTTGGCGGGAGGCAGCACCTCATGCCTGTAATCCCGACACTTTGAGAGGTTGAGATAAGTGGATCACTTGAGGTCAGGAGTTCAAGATCAGCCTGGCCAACACAGTGAAACCACATCTCTACTAAAAATACAAAAATTGGCTGGGTGCAG